TATACAAACTTAGACGATAAGTTCAAAGTTGAGTGAAATCCATGCCTAATTAATTAGCATACTGTACTCTGATTGGTCAATGGTTTTATGCCAAGTAACTTTGTCAGATAAGGCAAGATTCTAAAGAAACTTGTTTGATATCTTATTCAACAACAAAGGCAAAGTTCAAAGATGTTCACAATCTGTGCATAATCTATTTAATGGTTTAAAATAATCAGGTATTGGTCAAAGGGGTAAATGCCAGTTTCAGTTTTTAATGTTCTATGAAATACATTGTATGGACAAAGGGAAGCACAAGAAGAATAACTTCACAGTGGTACACTTTTACATAAAACTTTGATTTATAACAAATTAACAGTAAATCTTTCTGTACAATATGATGGGAACTTCGTCTTTATTTTGTTCTCCATTCCAAAAATAATATATATATATCTTTTGCCTTAGCTTTCAGTACTTTCAGTACTTTGATTAGTATTTAAATTACACTCTATTTAGTTTAATGTGGTATGTATATATTTCAAATTCATATTTAGAACCTTCGGTGAACCGTAAAGTCGGGCTCGGAGGAAAATAAGTTACAAATACTAATTTTAATAGGGACTATTTGAATATATTTCGATAACTTATGGGAGCCACGTAACGTGGAGTCACAAGAAAGTAATTGTGTTTAAGGTCTAGATAAATCTATATGTTATAACCTGTGTTGAACCGTGAAGTCGGTCTCACGGGAAACTAAGGAGTTGTAAGGCATAGATAAATCTATATATTTTAACTAATTAATTATTGTAATTGAATTCTGTATACTGATATGTATATGGTATGTAATTGAATAAACACCATCCTTGTACTTGATATCAACGTATCAAACTCTTGATAACTTACAATCTCATTAAAATCAGATGTTAATAAAAAATACCTACGGTACGTGATAATGAACAGCTGTATTTATTCAGATTGGAGAACTTAGTGATGTTTTGAGGATGTGTTTTCATGAACATGCAAGTCATGTTGACTCTATGTTAATTTGGATATTATAAAGCCTAACTTCACGGGAGAAGTTACTCTAAGCCAGAAAACCTCCTTTTGGTTGCTTCGTCTTTTTATAGAAGGGAGATTACTCCAAGTTGAACAAGAGTACCGCGGGGCGGAACAATATACGCCCGTAGAATGCCATATAGTGTTATATATTTTCTTACATTGAAATAAGATCTGCATCATTCAAAGAGTGGTTAGCTGACATGCTATAAAAATGTAGGAGAAAATCTCCGGATAAAAGAAATCAAATACTGAAATGAACAAAGGGCAATAACTTTTGCAAAAGTCGTAGAATCAAAATTCTTTTCAAAGAACCATGCTTATTTAGCCTACTAAGTTTCAAAGAAATCTGTCCAAAAATGTAGGAGGAGATTGCAGGACAAAAATCAAATACTGAAATAAACAAAGGGCAATAACTTTTGCAAAAATTGTCGAATTAAAATTCTTTTCAAGGAAACACAACAACATATCATGATTATAATGTATACCAAGTTTCAAAGAGATCCGTTCAAAAATGTAGGAAATTGCCGGACAAACAAAAGTTTACGCCGGACGGACGGACAACGCCATACCATAATACTCCCGTCAAATTTGACGGGCGTATAAAAAACAAACTCTGAGTGGAACTCTTCTTCGTGATTATAACTGATGCAGTGGTACCCTTAACTTTAAGTGATGTGCTGTATTTATAATACTGGACATAGTCATGCTCAGACTCAAGGCTTAAAGCTCTCGGGCCTGTTTAGGGTAGTTAGGGCCAATCTGGGGTTAATAGTCATAACATTTATAATTATATATTGTTTTAAATACATTCATTATTTACAAACACAACAATAAAAACATACACTGAGTTTCCTTCTTGCGTTTTTCAATCATTGTCAACTTGTAAAAACTCTTAAATCATTTTTATTTTCTTTCTGTGAAAAGCAGCAGGCTGATATAGCCAGATATAGATGGATGTACTGTTAACATACATATTGAAGTAAACTCAAATTCTAGCTCGCTGATTTAATCATAAAGGATCAGCACATGATGAATGTGCACTTACAATATTTGCAATAGACAACAAAAATTTGAAAGTTTAAATTAGCGCAATCATAATTAAGCAAAATATCTTGAGTACAGAAAGAGTTTAAATAAGATTACCGCCAAATTTGTTTGTTAGCAGTATTGTGCTTATGTTGCTATTTATATAACTATTTAGAAAGCTTACCCCCAATAATACCGGGTATGCGATGGTTATCAAGCCCTGGGTTACACCTCTCACAATGGGT